CCACCACCCACGTAATACCGTAGCACATAGAGATTGTATTAGGCGCTCAATGAATACTGGTACCGTACCAACCAATTGACCTTCAGTTTGCTAAACCCGCGGAAAAAAAGACATTGACGGTACGCTAAACCGTGAAAACTTCAAATATTATTTTATATTCTATATTTAGAAATCAAACTCATTATTATGAGTTACTTAGAAACTAATTATTTCTTAAAATAACTATTATCCTACATACATTAATTTTCTTATCAGAGAGACCGCCTAAGTTTTTTTTTGTTTTTTTTTTTTTTTTTGATTTCTTACCGTTGTAATTTTTTAGTGCGAAATTTGCTTATATAGGGCCTAGGCATAATATTCTTGATTATCGCCGTGTATTTTTGCATGTTTATTACATTGCATTTATTATTACATTGAACTGAATTAAAATCATTTTTTAATCTCATGATTATTTCTGTAACTGTTTGTCACTCATGTCAGCTGGCCAATGTTGGTGTCACGGAACTATTTAAAAAGGAAAATACTTAATAGTCGCATTCTTAAATAACGATGCGTCCAAAAAAAGGAAGTCAAAACTTAAAGAAAAATTAAGAAACAGTCAAAAACCTTATTACCCCTTCCTCCTTTCACCAAAAATCCAACTAGATACACTTATTCCCTCTTCCTATCCTCCCACCAATCCCCTTTCGATGACTACGTGAAAAACGTTCCAACTGAAGAAGAACTTCATTGAAGTGGCGTCATTGGCCTATGCTTGATACGATTATACATCATATTTCTTATATGAGCACTGTACTATTAATATTATTTTCTATCTATTTGTTTGTAATAGCCCTATAATTATTAGTTAGGCCTACTAAATAAAATCAAATTAACAAAAATAAAGAAAATACTTTTCTAACAAATTGCCAAATATTGATATATCGCCCTCTATGACATCAGTTAATAAATAAACACTCTCTGACCGAAAAAGCAGGCTAGCTGAGTTGGTGGTGTGGTTAAAACGTGAAAAGTACTACTGAAATATTATAAAGTATGACATCGGAAAAGGAACAATTGAATTGCTACAATAAAGGATGTGGAAAACAGTTCACAAAAGAACAAGATGGTCCAGGTAAGAGAAAGTTCTCCGACTTAGCTTTTTGCTAGGCCTTGATGAGTGGCAGATCAGGCTTGGCTAGGCCAATAATGCCTACCCGAGACATGTGCTCAGTGTTGGGGCAGTCGATGACTAATTAGGCCTAGGTCTAGCTTCTAGAACATTCAGCTTCGGTCAGGCTAGCATTTATATGTATTTGTTTGCTCTGTGCTAAATACTAATTATTATAGATGTGTCTCTCAATTTAAAAGATTTGAAAATAAACTTAAATACTAGAATTGCTTATTTTGTACAATTTAATACCCCTTATATAATACCCTACCTATATAGTACTGTAGGCCTAGGCCTAGTAGTACTAGCCTAGCTAGGCCCTAGGCCTAGGTAGGTAGGCCTAGTAGCCTTAGTTTAGGCTAGACCTAGGTTTATAAAAAAATATTTTTTCACCAAATATATAATAAATACGTAAAATAGACTTTAAATTTCAATACCTATTTTCTTTGCATAGCTGTTTAAAATGATTCAGTTTGTTATGGAGGTAGCAGGTCAAAACGGCAATAAACCAAAACGGCAATGACCAAAATGGCAATGACCAAAACGGCTATGAAAAGTACCAAAACAGCAATGAAAAGTACCAAAACGGCATACTGTAGACCAAAATGCCAAAGGAACGAAATCAATGCCAAGACTAGCAAGCGCCACTCGGCACGCGGACCGCAGTTATAATCTTCTGAATCATTTTGTTTTTACTGTTTTTATATTGTTCTCCCCCATTTATTTAATATTGAATTTGTATGACTATTTTAATTTTTATTATTATTATTATTACTGTATTATTATTATTAATGATATTATTGCTGCTGCTGGTATTTAGCCAAATTTAATCGAGTACAATTTAATGTTTATAATTAGTTTATTTTTCGCATATTTACTTTTATGACGTAAAAAAATTGTTTACCATTGTTTTGTTCTTGCCGTTTTGACTTATTGACGTTTTGGTTAGTTGCCGTTCTGGTAAAAAAGTGTTGCCGTTTTGGTTTTTTGCCGTTTTAGTCATTGCCGTTTTGACTTACTGCCATTTTGGTTTATTGATTGCTAGTGTAAATCTGTAATTTTATGAATTTTAGGGTGTACAGTCAGCCAATACATTTTATCTTAAAATTGTTATGATGCGTGACATAATAAACATACTGTAGGCGTGAGATGTTAAAAAGTGGAGGCTCATGCGTGAGACTCGCGCATTATGTGTGAGAGTTGGCAGGTGTAATATGGTGATGATGTGATGTCATCATGGCCATATTTAGGTGTCACATGTTGTTGTCGAATAAAGTTTGATAGCCTTGAACAGGGTTTTTCATTGGTTCTAATCTCCTGACATCATCATAGAACTCCACTCATCATAAGCCTCATAAAGTATTTTTGTTTGTATTTAAAGATCATTAGATCTTGTAATTAAAGTATGCTGTTGGACATACACCATTTTCACCAAATTTTTGAGAACCTGGCAACTACCACTGGGGGACTTCCAGAGGCCTAGCTTTTCGCTCTACATAATTACCATCATGGATTAATTAAACGATAAGACTAAATTGCACAAATATTTTAAAACGGAAAAAGAACAGAATGTTGAGATTAAAAACAAGTCTAAAAAGCTATTTCAGTGTTTAGTATTAGTAATTAGCAAAAGATCACATCTGTTGTCTGTTACTGCTATAGCAAGGGTCTAGCGGTGCTATCCGCTGCGCGGTGCCCTACTTGTAACTAGCCAGCTGCTCAAGCTAGGCCGTCGGAAGCCCCCAGTGAAAATTTGCGAGACGTTGGAGGCGTTGTTTCAAAGTAGACTAGGCCGCTGGCAGTACCCAATGAAAAGTTGCGAGACGTTGGTGGACCCTATAGTAGTAGACCCTATAAAATGGTGTATAAAAGACATTTAAAAAAAACTTGAGTACTTGTTTTCTATGTTTTATGATAGACACTGTTGAATGTTTGAATAAAATACAAATACATTACATGTACAAAGAATATATATACTATCTTTTAAAAATTTTTTGACTTTTATAGATGTATGTGAATTCCACCCTGGTGGACCGATCTTCCATGATGCTTATAAAGGCTGGTCTTGTTGTAAGAAAAGAACAACTGACTTCACAGAATTTTTAAACATAAAGGTAATTTTTAAAAATTTTGTTTTGATCATATGAATTAATATATTAACAATATATTGCAGAAAATTTACTATTGAATAACAGCACAGTATGAGTCTCGCTTCAGGTTTGTTTTTTCCCCAGTTATCTGTAGAAAGCACATTATATGTAATAAAAAACACAATTTAAATATTTAAATAATTATATCACTCATCCTCACCTTGCTTGTGGTTATGGTAGTTACTATTGGCAGGGGCAGCTACACTTTTACCTGTCATAACCAAATTCCTAATTCTGATTGGATGCTGTTGGATTGGATTAGATAGAGCAGGAGTGGACATACATTTGTCGAAGGACAAAAGTGAATTTTTGATTTCACACTGAAAGCTGCATCCAAACTTGGATTTTCTAGTGTGCTTCCAAAAAACCTTCATTGACTACTTTTATATCACTTTATGCTCATTTCTAATATTACTTTTTACAGATGATTGGCGTCAGCTTGTAAAGAAGAAGGGGTATTCTAGCCAAAATTGTTTAGCGGGCCACACACAGGGTTTTTAATTTATTTTTGTGGGCTACAGAGACATCATTGTAGGGCTGCATGTGGCCCACAGGCCGCACTTTGCCCACCAGTAGATCAGACAATAACGTCCAATCTGAGTTATGAATTTGTTTAAGATTGGTGTACTGTAACTATGAGGGGAGGCGACAGATTGGCTGAAGCCTTCAGAATCCATCAGTTTCAGTGGTGGATCCAGGAATTCGAAATAGAGGGGGACCAGGGAGAGAGTTTGACAGATGGAGGGTCTATACCACCTCAGCCCCACCATGGTTCATGGTGATTTTGGCACTATACAAATATTGGATTGGATGGGATGGTTGGGGCTGAGGTAAGAAAATTTACAATTATGTCACCTCTAGATAGCCGGAAATGGCATTCTCTTAAAATTTGAATCTAATTTTTATTTGTTCTACAATTTTTAACAATTATGAAAATGAAAAATTTTAGTGGGGGGGGGGGGGCGCCTGAGCTAGTTGGGCATTCCCTTGAATCTGCCACTGAGTTTAACTACTGGTCGATCAACAAATAAGGCTAGCCATCCCAAAACCGGCATCAGTGATTAACAATTGTCTTTTTAATACATTTTTATTCTCCTCATAATAGGCTTTAAAATGATGTGAATTGATTTACTATGAGTCCAAGTATTACGGCTTCTCTGCGCTAAAGTATAAAATGCTGCCACATTCTTATGCTAATTACTTAGTTTAACATATAGCAACAGTACACTGGTTTTGGGATGGCATCTTCTCTACTGTGTTTGCCAAATTTGTTTTTGCAGGGTTGCACAAAAGGTTATCACAATCCCGAAAAACCTCAACCTCAGGTGCAGTCAGTTGAAAGCAACTATGATGATGATGATGTCAGTATAAAGGTAATGTCAGATATATTCTTTGCAATTATCACTTATTAAACAAGATAATCTAAGATTACAAACCCATCCCCCTGTTGCCAAACTAGGTTTGCTATCATAGACTTTGCGTGGCAAGCCTCAATCAGGTGAATTTTCACGGTGGCCGGGCTACTTCCATTCCGCGGGCCAGAATTTGACACCCCCTACACTTCCCTGCAGTCAATCCGCTCGAGTCGACTTGGCCTAGCCAAACAAAGCCGAACGATCTGCTCAAGTTGGCTATGACTGTTGCGTCCAAAAAGTATATAAATAACATTCCAAAATTTGCATCTTCCGATCACCACCAAAATGGGGGACTGAGATACATGTAACATTGTAAATGTGTGGAAATTTGTAGTAAATCGGTCCAGTAATTTTTGAGTCATGAATCCAGAAAAAAAAACACTTTATGTTACTTTAAAACTGATCTTCGTTTTTTTTCGTGTTCCAGAAAGAGCCTAAACCACCTCGTGAGCCCAATCCTGTTAAAGCGGTAGAGAGACCAAGGTAAACCAATAGAGCCTCTATGTATTTATTTTTTTCATTTATAAAATTTATATCACTGGTGATATAATAATGTAAATCTGCTGTATATTGGTTTGAATTAGAAAGATAATAAATTGAACTTACAGAAAAACCCAACTAACTTAACTAACTAACCAGCTTAACTGACTTAACTAACCAAAATAATTTTTTAATTAATTAATTTAAATAAGTTTTTACCAGCAGCGCCCAAAAAGTAAACCTGCTATTTAGAGTATTAAAGCAGTTCAGATACCAATGTAAATATTATGGTAGAAGAGACTAACAAAAATGCATATTAGAACAAGCAACTAGGACACAAATAAAAACCTTTAAGAATATTGCACCAGTGAAAAAAACCATTTAACATGTTCACTGCCAGGGACGCAAGTTCATGTCCACACCTGTCTAAACATACCACTATTGCATTGTATGTTAACTCACTGGCAGTGGTCGCCCAGAATGTGAATTCACGATATTCAGGGAAGAACCCGAAAGCAACGATCTCAAAATATATACCGTATATTTGTTTGTGTTTCATTACACGTCATGGGAAAGATTTTAATTATGGTGGCATCCTTTATGCCTTGGTGTGTGAGACGAAACTAGGAAAAAAAGTTTGACAGTCAATGTGTTAAAATAAAGATTATTTTATACCACTAAAATGACCAAAGTAATTCTGTTTATTATGTTTGACCAGTAAACAGTTCTAAGTTTATCAGAAAATCAATAGAAACCAACATTAAGTTTGTAAAGAAAGTTATCAGAAAAGAATCCAAATATTGATTTTGTAGGAGTGATGAACAAATGGTTCCAATTCCCATCACAGTTGGTGCTACTTTAAAAGATGCAATTGCAAAGCTACGCAAAATGGAAGTCAGTGCTACAGAGAATGGTAATAGTTTTCTTGTATTCAACTTCAAATTCACAGTAAAAAAACATTAAAAATATAAATTACTGAGGTATTGTGGTGTATCTAGGGGGTGCAGGAGACCCAGTGCCCTACAAAATGCTTACACCCCTGCCCAGACTGACCCATTCAAAATACTCAAGTAGTTTAAACTCTGATGATCTGACCAGAGTCAGTTTAGCTTTACACCCAAGCTATCTTGTTACCCCATGTTTCTTCTTCAAGTCTTAGCTGTTTGCTCAATTAAATCTGGATGTCCCTTTTTGAAACATCTCAATTTATTATCATTTAATGAGATTTGGTATTTTTTATTTTTCTTATTAAGCTAATTCAGATGAAATTCAGCTTGGAACATGCTGTAAACGAACAAGTTGTGGTAAGGTAAGTCAACATGTTTGTAAAATTTGAATAAATATTACTTAGTTGTATAGTAGACCTCAAGGAGGCAAAGATGGGAACTCTCAGAATGGGCAAAAAACTAGGGGAGCTAAGGATGCTCGCGAGTGACAAGAGAAAATGGCCTCAAATAAAGAAGGAATGATTGCAGCTGTAGGAAGTTTCTACTACTACAGAAGCAGTATCCAGTAAAATAATAATAATAATAATAGATAAAAAAAGGTGGTTTAGCGCAGCGATTTCCATTCAGGTTCTGAACCTCATCGACGTTTCGAAACAAACGCTGACCATTTTTGGTCGGCCACGCTTAGTTACCACAGCTTGCACTATAGAGGGGTTGTGAAGTGGCTCATGCTATGTTTCAGCAGTAGGCCTAGGTGTGAGTATTTCTTGGCCTATGAATAAATTAAATACTTTGTGGCCACCTTTCGTCAATATTGACGGTAACATCAGCAAGATATCAAATTGGAGCATGTGGCTTCTGGGGCTGAGTAGGCCTAGGACAAATATTGCCTCTGTTCATGAGGCTTATGGAGTGGAGTTGTTTTAGTCATGCCTAAAAATCCTTTACAGGCTATATATTGCCTAATAATTAGGCTAGAATAAAATGTATACCAGATTAAATATGAGTAAATTAACTAATACAAGTTTCTTTTTATGCTGTGTAATGCAGGCGTACGAGGGCCAAGAATCTAAAAATGAACAATGCTTTTACCATGCTGGCACAGCTGTGTTCCATGAAGGGTAAGTGTACTTAGGCCATGTTAACAATATTGTCTCCCCTTCCCCCTCCCCCACTTAAGAAAAAGGCACCAACCAATTTTTATTTGAGACGGTGACAACCAGACCATTTTTTAAGGTTCCTTCCTGTGTGACAAATCAAGTTTACATGTACAAACATACTTTTTTGAAATTTTATCTAGTCATATGTCATCATAATGATGTGTCTAATAAATTGGCGGGAAAATATTAGGGGACAAGTAAACTGTGACAGCACTTTTTATTGACTATGCGAAGTGCGAGTTTTCTCGTCCTTTTTTTGCATGGGTTGGAATATCTTCAAAGAGCGCACCCACTTCTGCCACTCGAGTGTACTGTAGGCAACATAACACAACAAACATACATACGTCATTTGTACGTTATCGTCTAGGTGTATCTTCCCCTAACTACCAGCCGTTAGGTCTATGGTTCTACAATGTATAACAAAGAAGTGATAAACGCTGGAATGTTACCAATTTTGAAGAGTATAGTCGACTTTTCGCTGGCAGCCAATTTGTTAAACATGATGATGATAGACAGGAGTTGAATAACTCTGACAATAAATTTATACTGCTGTCAACTATAATATTCAAGATTCTTTTGCTTGTTTTTAAAATACTTCTTTTTAAACAACGATCATATTTGCTACATTTTCTTATGCCATACTCTTCAACTCGTACACTTTATTCTTCTGATAAATTTCTTCTTCAAGCCCCTTCAAAAAGGAAAAAGCCAAAAACATATGGACATTATTTTTCTGTTCGGGCACCTTATCTTTGGAATTTTTACCTCTTTCTGTTCGAAAATCTTCACATTTAAAACTAATTTGAAAACTTTTTTGTTTACAAAATCGCTTTAATTGTTCACTGCGCCTTTGATAATGTTTTTGGAATTGGCGCGTTATAAATTTCTGCATATTATTATTATTATTATTATATTAACTATGCTTTACACATTTGAATCAAGGTGGAATTAAATTCAGTCAAGTTTAATCTAAATTCTGTAACACTGAATACTCCATACACTGTACCACTCAGAAGGTATCACCAACAACTCTACCAGTGTCAACCCCTATGCAGGGGTTGTTGGGTAGTATAAAACCAGAAACCAGAAACTGAGAGTGTAAACATTAGTGCAAGGTATAGAAAAAAAATATATAGTTATTACTAACTTTTAGTAATATTCTTTTGAGAAAAATGTATTCCTCTGTCAGAATTTCAATCTAAGATCATCTGGTTTTCAGCTGAGTTAAAAAAAATGTTAATTTAAACAAAATACAGTTTGGTTTAATAATCTAGATTGTAAAGATATCAGCTACCCTGTAATCCAGGTTGTGCAAACCTAAAGCATGTCAATAGAGGGCTGTTTGTGTCCTGTTGACTAAATTGGTTAAGAGCTAAAATTCTCCACACTATCAAATTTTATGTGACAAATTTGTGTGATATACCCTTATATGGGCATGATGATGTCATATTACTTCCAAATATGGGCATATCAGTTATTTGTCACATAAAATGTAAAATAAATGTACAGTATCATAATTATGCTGTGGTGTTTTTTTTTCCCTGTAGAATGAAGTACTGGTCATGTTGTCAAAAGAAAACTAGTAATTTTGATGATTTTCTAAAGCAGCCAGGCTGTACCAAGGGCGTCCATCTTTGGATTAAAGCTGAAGAAAACAATTCAACTGCAGTATGTAGGTGAGTAGTCAGGCAATGAGAACCGTCACCACCATTTGAATTATTCGGTATTTTGACGCATAGGTAGGAGGTGTGCACTCTATGGAATGCTCCTCCAATTACTCCACCAAAGGAGGTTATGTACTCATCGCCGTCTGTCTCTCTATTGTTATCAAGATTATGCAAAAACTAATGAATGGATCATCATAAATATAGTGGAATAGTACACAATAACACAATAAGAGATAGTCAAAGACAAAGTCATCCATCTTACACGGCTTGTGTATTGTTTGGAATTTAGGCACATTGCCGAAAATAATGGAATCGGCTATCATACACGACCTTTCGGTATTCAGGCAAATGGCTGAAAACTATGGAATTGCCCATCATACACAACCTGCGTATTGTTAGGTATTAGTGCACAGGGCTGAAAATAATAGAATCGCCCATCATACTAGGCCTGCAGATTGTTCGTTATTCAGGCACAGGGATGGAGTGCTCGTTTAGTTGGTATTAATGTAATAAGAAAAATAATAACTAGCAATCTGTTTTCTTTTTTTTTTTTAATCTACAGGCATGATTGGCATCAAACCGCTAGTTATGCTGTACTAACAGTTTATTGCAAAGTGGCTGATCCAGATACTTCTACCATCGCAGCTAATCAGGTGCAGCTAGTGCTCTCCATCAAGTACGATGGTGGACGTGGTGTCTTCAAGAAGGAAATTACTTTAGAAGGGGTAATTAATGTTCTTTTAATTAGTTAATTAATAGGAGTAATAGAATTTTTGCACTACCAGACGTATTGTCGTACTGAATGCTGTGGCATACACCATCAGAATTTATAGTACTACAAAACATACATTATGGAAAGGGGTTTAGCAAATGTAGAGTACGCTTTTATGAATATGAAAAAATCTCATAATGACATTATGGACGGGCATTCCATCATTCCTCCAACCAGATTTACTCCTACGAGTACAGAGGTGATAAATGTCTGCTTGCACCAAATCATTGGTGTACAGAAATTGGAAGTTGTAAATTGAAAACCATGTTGTGTTGCTTAGTCTAGATGCCAGTCCATAATTTCTGAATTTCTTCATAAAAACTACCCCAGTGGGCCTTTTTCTCCTTGTAAAACTCTTTTTAGCAGATTTCTTTGCTCACTGGTGGTAGTGTATTTAATGGAGATTTGATGTAAAGCCTATTTCTTGTTGTGTTAACATTAGTAGCCTCTCTTTTTTATGTTTATTGTTTAAATTTATCTTTGTTTTCTTTGAATTTACAGGCCATTGATCCAGCCAGGAGCTCGGTTAAAATGCTGGGTACAAAAGTTGAAATAAAGCTAAGGAAAATGGAGGCATTTAGTTGGAAGAAGTTTGAAATCCATGAAAAAGTTGAACAGCTAGAATAAAAAAAAAACAACTAAATGTGCAAATAAATACATGTAAATGACATTAGAATGAAAAAGTAAAGGCTGGAAATATAAATATAATGGACCAAAAAGGGCTAGAATTCTCAGGTAAATTTCAGCCATTTTTATTATTCAGTTAAGACAATGTTTTTTACCATTCACAAGTCAGAACAGATAATCCTGCAGGAATGCAATCATCCACATATTAGTAGTGTGTACATTTGACCTAAAGGCCTAGATATACCAACCTGCATATCTATTTTCTAAATGGGAAAAATGGGGTTGGGGAGGGCCTTAACCTTTTTCTAATAAGCTGTACTATAAGTTTTTTAGACATGCTATGTTTCAAACACTTGCCACCTGTCAACAATATTTATTTCAAATATTTTTTTCTGCCTTTTAGTGTGCCATTGTCATGAAATCTCCCAATAAAATATTTTTTTTTACTCTGAATAAATATATTAAGCTTTTATCAGTCCAAGAACTGTTTACTTTGCTACATCGCATTCACAAGTGAGGGCCTAACAGCAAGCAACCTTATTCCTTTTTATTTCACACATCAATAAAATATTTTAAAATTTATTATTGTTTTCGGTAGAATTGAAAATAGATGTTATTGTTATATTTTCTGCACTTGTAAGCTAAACACAGTGTAAAGAATCTTGGCTAACATTAAAACAATACACTTGGCTTGTGAGATAATTTTCTAGAGCACACTGAACTTCCAGAGCCTAACATTGAGACAATATAACTATTATATGGTTACAAGAAATATAAAATAATTAAACAAGATGCAGACCCATGTGAGGTCAAGGAGGTATAGTACATTAAGAAAATGTAAGTTCTTTCTGGAATCATGTTTTTAGCTTTTAAAAAAATTGTTTGGAATGATCGTGAATACAATGTTCTTCAGAATAAGAGTTGTCCATGTGTGTTTAATATGGCTTTTTCTATATGTTTAGTTACCAATCTTTATTTTAAAACTAGAGCACACGCTACTTTATTCGTATATAGTGTTTCTGTTTTCACATAAATTTTGTCTTAAAATAAAATTTCTGCAGCTTAGCTTTGTCAGCTAAACTGGTGGTAGCCACTGTGTGTGCTCTGAACTGTGAAAAATCTTTGTTCCCGGTTCAATTCTAATTGCCGCTCTCCTTGTATTTCAACTGAAGGACTGAAATGCAAGTCACGATAGTGCACCGTCTTTCAGATAAGACGTTAACACTGTATGGCCCATGTGAACGCAGTACATTCTTCAGAAAAAAATAGGGGATTGTCTCATGTACTGCCCAATCACCACCGGAAGGACCCCACTTTTTTTGTCTTTCGTGGGTTATCCTTGGTATTTAAACCAAATAATACTGTACCAGGATCAGATGGTAATGGTAAGTTCCATTTTGTTGCCGCATATACACCGCTGCTCTTTTCGTGCTAAAACATTTTCTAGTGTGAGCATTGATGCACGAGCAATATAATATATATTTTTTCAGAGTAGTATGTCATTTTCATTGAAAGATGGAACATTATACAAGTTACATATGTAGTGGATGTCAATGCAATTCAAGTTTTTTAAATGCTAAACTGATCTGTCTTTATTAGTGTACTGCTAGATAAGTGATTTGTCGCATCAGGTTTCTGAGTTAAATGCTGATGCCATAGTTTTGCATCGGGGAAAGTTGTGTCATAGAATATGAAACATGTGCCAATAAATCAAGGGATAGACCAAAAGAGGTCATTTTTAGACCAGTAACTCCAGGGAGCCTACTTAGGCCATGTAGTTAGGTACCTGATTGCAGATACTGTACACTGCTAAAATGTACTTTGCAATCAAAGGAATGGAGGATTCTGCAAATGTAGTAAAAAACTTGCTTATGTCACGTCTAGTGTCCCCAACAGCTGAATCTGGGTCCAGTTGGCCCAATTTTTGGGTAGCTCACAATTTAATAATTCATCCTCATTCACACATTGCACACACAAGTATAACAACGTGTCGAGTCATATCGCTTTAATCAATTTCCTTGTACATTTAAGTTTAACACTTGATGAAAAACGATCAAAATTACTGTATAACTTTTACAGGCTAAGCAATATCACATGTAAAAAAATGTTTGCATTGAATTTTGACCAATACAAACAGTAACTTTACTTCGGCTATTGGATGCAGGAGGTTTCACCGACAGTGGGCATAATATATTATTCTCTACGCGTAAATGGCCAGCCGTTTTTTATTGAGCAACTATTGTGTATTCCACAATGAGTGAGTCCAATCAGTAGGATTTAAAAATTAGACTTTTCTACTCAGGAAAAAAAAAATATACCAACGACAACATTGTACAGGCTGTTAACACTGGTTATTTTTCATTCAAACTTTCCAGCTAAACAAACTGAAATATGAACAGGACTGTGTCTGTGTATGCAGGCGCGGAGCCAGAGCTAACCCTGACTATCACACGGTCCACTGGGGGTGAAACCATGGGGCAGGGTTAACAGGGAATCTAACGGTTTTAAAACAAATACGCTATTTATAGCATTTCTAGTGAAAAGAAATTCGAACTAAAGATTTGCAAGCTGATTTGCAAGCTGAAATGATCATTTGACGACCTTCATGGTGTGAATGGTGTTGCCTGGTATGTGTATATTGACCATGTAGGGAAGTGTGCTTTAAAAATAAAAAAATGACCAAGAAACATATTTTTTTGCTGCAAGAAATTGAGATTCAAGATGTTTTACATTTCTAATTTATTGTCATATTAATGACTGCAAATGAACTACAACTATACAAGATTTGGCTGTATAATTTAACATCAAACTGTAATTACTGGAAGAACACATGGGGATTTTTAAGTATTATATTAAAAATGCTAAATGCATTACAGTATTAACAATGCTAGAATTATTACTGTCCTCACTATTCTAAAACAACATTGGGGTCCCATCTTTAAGTTATACTGATGATGAATATGGAGACGAACATTACCAATTTTAAATAGCCAACATTAATTATATCCCAAACATAATGCAAAGATGAAAAAACATATAAAAGATCCACTTCTTTGTATATACTGTAGTGGATGTTTTGATCATATTCAGCACAAATATTTATATTTAGCAGTAGACTTTATTGACTACATACTAAGAATTATGTATAAAATTGATGGCAAACACATAATTTGAAATACTGTAAAATCAATGCGTAATTTTTGGAAATTTCTTTTAAAAAGAAACAAGGGAACACATCAAATTTTTACATGCCTTAAGCTGATAAATATACATTGCTAATATTAATTTAACCTAATTGCAGGAAACACTCCACAAATATACAGGTTGACTTATAACAGTGTATAATTTTCTTTTCTATTACAAACTTGGTACGAATATTTTACGGATGACAATCTGAGCAACCGGACTGTTTCTGTGGTTTCAACAGTCATATTCAATATCTAGTTTGTAATGGTAACTATAAAATTGTAAAAGATTCAAAATTTGGCATTTTGGTCAAATTTCTACAGTACAAACATTCTTCAAATGCTCTACAGGCAACGAACTCTCCATGAAATGTGAACGCATTGTCACACGTGCATCAAACATCGTTATCGTGCAAAAATCAACATTCCTTTTCATTAATTAAAAGATACTAATTAACACAAAATTAGTGTTAACATTATATAAGCCAAGATCTCTTGACTTAACTATACAAGGTTGAACTTCGACTTCCGATAATCTATCATAGGTAAAGATTTGATTCGCATAAGCTTTACAAATCCTGTCCACATTTAGCACAAATAACGTCATCATTCTCGGTCATGAAACCTTGATTCACCAGTGACGAATCACATCGTTTACAGTTGAAGCAATCGTTATGCCAATGTCGTTCCTCAAATGATACAAATCGAGTGCCGCCAATTCCTGAAAAGCAAAGCATTAAATGAAATTAAAACAATACCTCCTTTAATTATTATTAAATTAATATTAACATTAAATAAACAATGCATAATGATATAAACATTTCACAGACAGACTTTGTTCAATGTTGATCAATTCTAAAGCAATAAGCAATATTTTGAATATTAATAGCAGTATTAAAATAATATTGTAGACATTAAACAACAATAAAAATTACCGGTAATAGGCCTTTTACAGCCACAGCATTTCTTCGCAAACATTTCACCATAGCAATTAGTGCAATACGGTTTGTCATCACGGGAGGTGAACCTTTCACGTGCAAGGCAGATCTTGCAACCGCTGCAAATGAAACACTCTCGATGCCACGGTTCATTTCTGTAAGTCACACCACCATCAGAAATAACCTAAGCGTACAAAATATTAGTATTAGTGTTGTTTTTAAGAAATTAAGGAATACTTATTGATGACAATAAAATGAGATACAGTTGAAATTTTAATCAAGGTGCAATTGGTCAAAGAAATATGAAAATGATAATATTTAATTGAAGTACAGAACATTAAATATAAGTTATGTAAAATACAAAAAATCAGGTATATTACATAAAGTAAAACATATCTGATTATATATATCTCAATATATAATACATGAATTATTCTATTTATAAAGAAATATAAAAACAAGAAGGTCGGCATTGGGTTGTAGAGGAGATATATTCCCTAAATACCCATTTCTGAGACAAGGCCAAAAAAACTGTTGCTCAGGCACAGCAGTATTGTTTTTGTTTCTATAGGAGGCCTGTTTGTAGGGTTCATCGTTAACCATTACTCAACCCTTGAATTTTGATTCAGAAATGGTTTCCAAAAAGTTTACAATAGACTGGATCAATAAATTAGAGACTTGTGGCAAGTCCGAACTTACAAGAGTTTGAGTTCCTCTTTGGTAAGAAAAACAACTATATTTTTGCCCACAAAAAAGGGAGAATGCTCTACAGGATTTTGGGTCAAATGGGCTTGGACAACACATTTTACATAAACAGAAAAAGGTTTACAAACAAAAAATACTGGTTAGCATACCAATTTGCATCCTTTACACTTGGTGGCAAATTTATCTTCATAGCACGCTAGGCAATATATTACTTCATCTCTTGGAATAAAACTGCGGGTTCCAATTGGTTCACTACAATTTTTACATTTAAAACATTTATCATGCCATTCTTTGCCTTTGTACTCCATCTTTTTAGTACCTAAATGAAAATATTAAAAAGGTGATGACACTGGAACATCTGGTATGGATATATTAATAGTAAAAAAGAAAAAAAATAATAACAAAATAGTAACAAGAATCTATATATTAATCACATTAAATAAATTGATAGGAAAGTTTAAAACTTGTTATTGTAATTTACATATTAAAAAAATGAAAACAACAACAATAATAGGAAATATTTGGTATGAATATAACAGAAACAATAACAAAATAGTAACAACAGTGCAGTACTAAAACTTAAAAAAAATATACAATATTAAAATTATATTAATTGCACAAGTTAAAACACATTATTGTAATTTACATGTTAAAAAATAAATACAATAACAATAATAAAAGGAAATAACTGACACATGGATATCATAATATTAATAAAAAAGAACAGAAACAACAATACTAAAATGTAAACAAAAAATACATATTAATCACACTATATATAATAACAACTATAAAAATAAAATTTATATTTTTAGATCTGAGAGAGATAGTACAATCTGCTGTAAAATGTAATTCCCAACTTTTGTTTATTAGCAATTACTTGGCAAATACGTTTGAAACCTACAGCTTAATGTCCAACAAATGGATGGTGTTAAGAACACATAATGGCAAATACAAGCAAAGAATAATAAAAACTGTAATAAAAACACTATAATGACATGCCCACAATATTGGGTATTTTGTTGGCCAAGCAATGAGGAGGTTATACATAGTGGTTAGTATGGTGATGAAGAGCACTGTAATTGATGGTCCTATTATTTCTAAGGGGTGTTTAAGGAACAATGGAAAAAGTCTGCTTATTCGGGTACAGGGGTGCCAGCGGGAGGGCTTTTCCCCCTTCCCCTCGACCATAAATAATAATTTGCCTTCCCAAGTAACGTTATTTTGATTGCCAATCCATAATATTGTAGTTTAAAAAGCACAATTTGGGCCATGTTAAGCCATATAAGCTATTTCCATGAATCAAGGATTTTTATGTCAGGACCCTCACAAGACTCTTTGTTGGCCCCTTGGTTCAAACCAAGCAGTGGGACCACCTGTTGGCATATTTCTGGAGCCTCTGTTGTTCAGGTAAAGTATCTTAATATCTGAAGATAACTGTTTCTTTAAAACCAACACATAGTAGAGGCAATGAGCTTTTGTGTATGGTAATTCCCATACAAAAACAAAAACCCCCAAAATTTTCCTTTACATTAATTTGGAAAACTAATATTAATAAATCATACCTGGTTTAAAGCAAAGTCCACATCCATTACACTTCGTGGCAAAGTTGTCTTCAAAACATTTATTACAATACAGCTTCTCGTCTCTGGTTCCAAACGATTTGTCAACCAGTGATTTTTTACACATAGCACAAAAGAAGCAGGACTCATGCCAATGGCGATCCATGTACGATAAATCCTGCAATAGGGAAGGAATATATTTCATATATTTATGTAACTTAAAAAACAACAATAACAAAGGAATAAAAGAGAAATATAAAAAGTTGGCAATATAGCTTTTGTTTAATAGCTCATGATTAAATCCAACTCAAAAAATACGTAAATTTTAAAAGATGTTTAAATAACTGATCTCTACTATAATAGCTGGATTGCTCATCAGCCAATCAGTGGCGGCACTAGCTAGTGGGGGAACGGGCGACAAGGGGATAATTTTCTATCCCCGCGGTTTCTCAAAAAAAAACAGAAGAAAAACAATTTGTCGGGGAGGAAAAAAAATGATATGTATTTTCTACATATCAGTAGACTATTTATCAATAAAATCGATTAAATAAGTCTCCCAAACCCCTAAATTGTCATATTTTTCGGGGACTTTAAGGGATTTTTTTTTTCAAATCATCTAGCCATTTCGTCGCACCAGTTTATGCAGTTTACAAAACTGTGAGCAACGAACAACAAACCCACTGAACCCAGATGCAACAGAATTAGTGAAAAAAAAAAAACAGCACTGACTTAAACCATCCCACATTACCTTGTGCATGCATATGAAAACTAAAATCTATTTTCTTTAGTGAAGAACTGCTGTTTATATGGTTTATTCTTATACTGTATTTGGAATAAAAAGCCTGTAAGAAAGCATAATTATTACTTATGACTTTATTATAGGTTCAAGAATGTAGAGCAGCTTTTTGCTGAAACCTTGTAACATCATACCTGCCATGAAAACCTAACATCATAACAACCATAAAACAGTTGAATGATCACTTTTTACTCATAGGCTAACTAGCACTTGTTCAGAAACCTCCAATTAAAAATTACATAAACATGTGACATAATTACTAATTTATTAAGTCTCGAATGACAAAAATGATAAGATGGCACGCTCATCAGTGACAAGATAAGTAATTGAATGGTCAAGTATTGCTTGGGGTGACACTTGAGTAATTTCAAGCATGTAGAAATGTCAATCAAAAGTTTACTACTATGGGATATCAGTTATGGCACACCTGGTAATGGATACAGCCAACATGCACATTAGAATTGCATCTATTTCAAGAAGATTGACTCATTTGTCGTCAGTCTACTCCCATCAGGATTCTTAGGAGTAGTACTCTCAGGTATCAAAGGATATCATGTATAAATATTTCACACCATGTTATTATTACATGTGATACCATGTATCACAGACATAGACTTGATTTGTACAGAATATATATAGGCCCTATACTGTAGATTAACTTCATTTTTATTTAAAAGATACAAAAAAAACCCATAATTTTACTATTATTATACAATCGACAATAATTGATCAAGTAGATACAAATGTAAAAAAAACAAAGTTAACTGCATTTTGAAAATAGTTACTTGCAAAAAAACGTATGGACAAACAATGGCCTAGAAGTCTTTGAGGAACTGTCTCAGGCAGATACATGATACTAAAATGGAAACAACCACGTACGTAGGATAGACTGGTGTTTGGCAAACTTTTGTACTATGATCAACTCTACCAAAGTGGTCTTTATGGCCTAGTACCTTCTACAGTTATGCCATATGCGATTTTTATCAACTAATATTCTTTCTAAAACAAAAATTTACAATACAATTTCTGAATTTGTGCCTTGTAATTTTTTTTAACAAGTAAACATGCAACAGATAATAACTGTACTCTATGCAGAGGGAGAGAGCACCAATGGTTCCATTAATTATCCACCAACCTTTGAGTCTGTTCCAATTTTGTCTCCACATTCGTCACAAATATTGGCGAACACATCCTCGTAGCAGCCAATACAGTACGGGTTTTCTTCTCGTAGAATGTAGCGATGACCACTTAACGTCTTGTCACAATTGTGACAGCAGAAGTGACCACTGTGATAATTCTCATTCATGGCTCGGATGTACTCTCCCGAAAAAATCAACTGAAAAAAAAAAGAAGAAAAAAAAAAGATATTTAAATATAGCAGTGAAAAAACAAATCTGAAATAATCTTTTTAATATTTTTAGGTTTTAAAAACAATATTTTGATATCTGATAACCTTGAATTTATTAGTCAACAAATATTTCACGAGGTATTTATTGTCAATAGAAGGTGAAAAGAAAATGAGGAGGATTATAAGGTGGTGTTCAGAATATTTAAATCCCTTCTAAATCCTTACTACAGCCTTTTTTCCATAAAATCGCTACATGCTATCGCCGACTCCTTTGGCGACGCTGATTGGTTAGTTGAATCAGGGACAGCTACGCAGTGCAAGGACTGCAGTAAAAACACTGTAGCGACAGTGTAGCAATTCTATGGAAACCAAGCTTAAAGTGACAGATGGCAATTGATGAAAGTTTGCATCAGGATGTCTAAAATATTTCTACTCACACATGGCTTTAGGAAAACAAATAGTAAGTTAAGTTAGAGGGCAATACAATTATGCATGACAATCTCACAATAATTATTCAATTTCAATATATTCAAATTTTCATTTTTTGAAAGTCTTGATAGCTTAAAATTCCCTCCCCCATCATGTAAAAAATAACTTTACTGGGTACCTTCAGAAGTAGTATTATGACTTAATATTAGATCCTTAGGATAGGTCTATATTGTTTTTTATTTTTTTGCAAATATATTATGTGTTTTTGTATCCGTTGGGACAACCAGTTGATGGACTATATGTCTGTGAAGCTCCCCATCTGCCTTCAATGTTTTATAAATCTTATGTGAATGCAATGTTCTGTTTCACTTGAAAATGAAAACAATGAAAATTCTAATTTGTTAAACAGTATTAGGTAATTATGTCATAACAAACTAATGAAAGTGAAATTAAGAAATTACAGTGAAATTCTGTGCTAGTTCCCCATCTGCCTTAAATGTTTTATTTATGAGTGAATGAAATCTTTTTGTAAGGCATTTGAAAATGAATAAAGAAATATTCTAATTTGTTTTATTAGGGAAATATGTTTTACAAACTAATGAAAGTTAAATGTAAGAAATTACTGTGAAGCTATTTTTTTTATGAACAAAAATGTATGTCTATAGGAGACAGAGAAAAAAACATGATGATCTCCATTCCACACAAAATCAGCCCAATTTTGTATAGCAATTATATATTTGTTGGCATGTCAAACGTGTGAAGTTAAACCTAGAGAATATAAATCTTATATCAATATTCTTTATAAAGGGACCCTCACAAATTATGAAACACACACAGTATTAAAACAAAACTAAAATAATGAAATTATTTTGAAATTTTCCCCCTTAAACAGTAATATGCTACCATTTCAACCACTGAATATATTATGTATACACTGACAGCCATTATTTTACTTGTCTTCATGTTTTCAGATTTAAGATTTTCAGTAGAAACAGGTCAATTGATGTTAATAATATAAATTTCAAAATATATTTTCCACCATGTTTTCTTTAATCAGCATACTTCTAGATTCTACAATGCACCACATCCGTAAGATAACCTCGTAAAAAAAAGGTGCAATTTCAGAAATAAAAGCAACATAATATTCCTACCAAATTTTGCTTATACGCCCACTACATCCTGAAGACAACCTACCAAATTTGGTGTAGGATTTCAGAAATAAAAACAAAGGGCATGTCGCACAGTGGGATGCTGGTAGGTGAATCCTGATCATCTTTCTATATTCAGGACTTTATATCACATAGCAGTACTCAAGTATCAACAAGAATCTCAGCACGTGACTTAACATGAACTTTGCAGAGCCAAACGCAGAATAAATACTTGATGAATACATCAGAAACAGCAAGATATACAAATTTATATACAATCACATACATTCATAAAAACAGCCAGATATACAAATATATACAATCACATACATACATAAAAACAGCCAGATATACAAATATATACAATCACATACATACATTTCACACTATAGGATGAGCCTCCAAAACAGAGAAGCAGAGAAGTGTGATATGGAAAAAAACAAAACTATAGCAGACTTCCAAAGTACTACGGAGCTTCCATAGTCAGGCCTATATTATACGGAAATTTTGCCTAATTACGGACGTATGGATATAGACAGAAACTTATCAAAGGCCTACACCCATAAATAAATAGGTCTGAAGTCCAGAACAAATGTCTTTTCCATCAGAAACTTTTTTTACATTCTTAGACAACTCATATTGGTACAGTACTTGTCGGACTACTGATAAATGGTGAAAACTAAGAAAAAGTGGCCCAAGAATCTTCACCCTGTCCTGTTTTGTTTGAAATTTCCACATTGAATTACAGACAATCTATTTTCAAAATAATTATAACTCCATGCATATATCTTGCACTTGTAAATTTTTCATTTACTACAGAAATCTGAAGACATAGTTAGGCCTACGGAAATGCATTTTACGAACTTGAGAAGTCTGCTCTAGGCCTACATCATTAATGATTACTGCAGATATTAATTAAACACTGTATACATAATTTACACTTGGTTTCATTATAAAAATACAAATTACATTCCAAAATTAAAATACATTTTTTTATATTGTTTTCTGTTAGATTTTGTTTTTTTATGTTGTTTACCTTCCTTTGAAATATAGTATGCATGTGCTACAGTATAAAGATAGAATAAATTAATAAGTAAATGACTCAAAATTTATTTATGAAGGAAATATGGGCACAAACACAATAGATTTTGGTCAGATATTGAAGATGTATGCTTGTTTTAAACATTTGTTTGAGCATGTGCCCCTCAATCCACCCCTGTGTGTGATCCAACAATTGATGTACAGTATCTCTTCATGTTGGCAGGAAGTTGGACAAGATATTGTAAGCTCTGTCCACACTATCAAATCATCTTTGACAAAAAACTGTTGTATGTCCATATATAGACATGATGTGCCCATATATAGACATGATGTGCCCATATATAGTCATGATGTGCCTATATATGGTCATGATGTGATGTCATCATGACCATATTTAGGCATGTCACATGTTTTTGTCTGTTTGCATTAGCAATGCTAAGCTTAAAATGTAAATCTGACTGAAGCTCAATTAATTATTCATGATCTAACATTTACCTTCATTGACGGTCTGATGCACTTTATTAACAACAATAAAACTATAATTAATTCACATATTAACATCCCTGATAAAAATATGAATACTGAGAATAGACATAGGACTATACTATCTATAGAATAGAATGGATAAACAAACATACTTGCTTTAATCATTTATAAGGTAGACAACATGTCTAACCTAATTCTAACTCTATATCTGATTGATTGCACATACAAGGTTTGAGATGTAAGGATGTTGTTAGGATAGCTAATATGAATATGAATACATTAAATTTCATAAGATGGCTGTACATGTATGTATTGTTGACAAAAAACACACATTAACAGAAGACAACCATAGTAATGTACTGTAGGCATATTTTAAATGTTTACATCAATACTGTAGGTACATAACAAAGGGCCAATTAAAAATATTAATCATAATAAACTGCATTAAAGGCATAAACAGTAGGTCATCTATACTGATAAACAACCAGTGGATCTGCGGATTAATCTACTGTGTTTATAGTTTAACAGGTTGACTGCCAGACATCTTTTTTTAGGTTCCTTCCCATGTGCCAAAACAAGCTTACATGTACAAACATAGTTTTTTGAAATTTTATCTAGTCATATATCATCAAAGTGGTGTGACTAATAAATTGGCGGGAAAATATTAGGGGACGATCGAGTATATACGATCGAGTATAGTCGTCCTTAGCGCCCTCAGCGACAGCCAGTGGCACGAGTAGACTTGTCTTTGGCAGCAATGTGTTAATACTCAAAGTACATCACACATGGTGGGTTTCAATATTTCGGACCTGGTTGTCCTTCAGGAATTACAATATTTATTCTTAAAGTTTGCCAAAAAAGTAAAAAAAATAAATACCAACAAATGGTGTGTTTATCTAAGTCCTAATGCAGACAATAGCAGTGGGTTGGGGATTAAGCATCCCCTCCCCCCCCCCCACAATTGTCCGATGAGGTGGTTGCAATAGTTTGCTGATCAAAACAAAGTTATTGATTCTAGTCCCTAATATTGTGGTTTAAAAACCACAATTTTGTGTTATCCTGAACCATTAAATATTTTCCCTTGAAACCCCACCAGAAATTTTATTCCGGGACCCAGAACAAGGCCCTATGGCTGGTTGGTTCAGACTTCCTATCAATATTTCTGGAGCCACCATTCTTGAGTCCAGCTTATAAACTAATAAATGTGATTTATTATTTTCATTGGCAGAAACAAAAACCTATCCTTTCTCAACTCTTCTTGTGTAATTTCTATTCGCATAAGGTTTTCTTTGAATCTAAAGTATGGACACCTAATTATTTCCAAAGTAAAAACTGTCTGTGAGAAGAAGTTAGATGAGCAATATCTGATTAACAATCAGACTGAATTCCTTTGCACAAACATCGCCGTTGTTTGAAGTGGGTAAACAATTCAAAACACTTTCCTACGATTACTCTCTCACCTAGCCAGACTGGCTCTCTTTAACCTTTATCCAAAAAAACTATTTGCATATAAAGGAAGAAGGCAATACCGTCAGGAAACAATTGCACAAGTTTAAGCAGTCATTAAATTTTAATGGCAACCATTGTGAGTTAGACTGATTGGAATCTCTGGGTTTTTTTTTTTTTTGTGGGATAGGTAACATGTTTTTACTGGTTTTCTTGTTATGGTGATTCAATTTCTTATTTTCGGCTAGTTTTCACACTCTGTTCTCATTGATCTCTTTCAGCAGGTTTTAAAATTTTTAAATATACTCTGTGTTGGAAAAGTAACTTAATTAAAAGAAAATTACTATTTGAATTTGCTTTTTTGTATATAATAAGTAGGTTATTAAGTTCTTTCAATTGACAATGAAAACAGGAAAAAAAAAATTGTATTTGTACAGC